GGGGTGGACATTAATTCCAACAAGAATTTGCTGCACATTTTCTGTGAAAAGACAGATGTTACTTATTTATCGGTCGTCGTCTTTTTTCTTCTCTCTATCTCTCTCTCCGCAAATTTTGTCTCATGAAAAAATCAGGTCCAGATCCAGGTGTTTCTCAGATTCACTATGTGGGGACTGTGTTTGCCACTAAGTACATTTAATTCATTTATTTATTTAACTAATTTAGTTAGTTATTTTTCTCCCCATTGAATTATACCGTGTAATTTTCAGCGAGGTCATAGTAATTATAGACACATATGTTGTTGTTTGTTGTGTTTTCTTTCTGCTTTGTTTTGTCTTCTCTCGTTCTGCAGGTGCAGAGGCAGACTACAAATGTGTTGTCTTGTGTTTATGCTTCTTTCTCTTCTCTGCTATTACCTTTTTGTTTTTCTTCTAAATCTCTTTCGTCACCTTTCTCCTTTTATTTTTTGTTTTCGTTTCCATCTCTGTGTCCGTTGTATAAAAAACAATCCCCAAAGAATTTCTAATGAAGTTTAAATACATATCAAGTGGAGCATCATKGTGAAAGCCATTRTGCTGTTTTCTTTTCTTTTCTTTTTAGTTTGGTCCAAAGGCCAATTTATAAAGACTAGTACTGATTTATGATAGCAAGAGGAAAACTGTACTTCTTATAGCCACTGTATAAAGCAAACCCAAGCTGACTGATCATTCAAATTTAAAGCAACAGAATTTACTTTGGTTTCCACAGGTGCTGTTGTGAGCTGGTTTCCCTGAGATGCTCTGAGTGACTGGACTTCCKGGAGGAGAGGTGTGGCGTTTGTAGATGGCGTGGGCTTGTGGTGCTGAGCGCTCATCATCGAACTTCTCCAGGGGCTGAATGAAAAACTCCTCATCAGACAACTTGAACAGTCCGRTCTGAAAGAATAACAAGGGTCAAGGTCAGACTGATTTGTTAGTCAGACTGAATACAATCTGAATAATTTTGAGCTCCTTATTTAGAAACAAATGAAATGTTTGGGCCTTTAATGATGGAATGTATGTGCTCCTGAGGGATGGCAGTATACATGATCATTAGTGTCCCCCCTTTTTATTTTAAAACAGCTATATAAATCACTGTTGGTGAATAACACATAATTTCAGTGTTGTTCATCTCTCAGTGTAATTTTTTGAACATTTTCATCACATCTTGCATCACAAACACATCCACACGTCAAGACTGCAGCCTGTCAGAATGAACACTTGATTCGATTTTTCCAATTATCTGAGCTTCAAAAATGTTTTCAACTCCTCTCTATTTTTTAAATGTAGGTTAAAATGAACAATTTCATTCCCTCTGCCACTTTGTGCCGGCCTGTTGCAGCAAATGTTGAAAAGGTTATGTTGAAGAGTTTAATTTATAATTTTTTAACAATTCTTTCTCTGAGCAGTGTCTGATATTTCTGACATGGATTAAGTTACAAATAATCCCTTATGGCTCTTTTGTTTGAAATCTTCAAACACTGGTAAAGTCCAACACCTTGATGGAATTAATTTATTGGATTTGTGTCAAAAATGTTGCAGCYAAAGAGATTTTTCAAACCTAATGCAAAGCAACACATAAACACCCAGAAAACTTTGAGGCTTATTTAGTTAAAAGCRTCACAGGAAAATTGATTGGAAAACTCAAATGATAGCCACAAAAGGATTTATTTGCATTTAAAGAAACTCAAAAATTTAGGAGGTTTAACCTTTGTCAGTTATTGTAAATTATTAACTTTACCCTTTAGCTTTAAAAAAGGATGTTACGTGAGCATCAACTCAGGCATAAAAAGTAAAAAACACTCCAGTGTGGTTTCCAGCCTGAATAGGTTAACGACAGCTAAGTGCAGCTTGAAGTTCGTGTTCGTGACATATTCCTGTTAAAGCCTTTTAGGGTCATCTGAGTTGATGCAGCTACAGGGAAAGAAATCACAATCTGTGAAATTGTGTTCATTATACTTCAGCTTTTATGATTGTGGCTGATCATATGATGGTCTATGTCTGTTTTCCGTGTTTGTTAGCAAAATATGTTTTGAATGACTAAACAGATTTCACTGAAAGTCTTGGAAAGTATTCACTGGATGTACAGCCAAAACTGATTTGACTTTTATAATTATTACATGTTTACAATTGACACATATGCTGCAGCTTACATCAGTACATATTCTCAAAAACAGACAGGTGGTGTGGCGGTATTCTACATAAGTAGTAGAAATAAGGTAAAACACATTAAGGACGGAGATGAAGTGATTGCAAGCACACACACTCTTGTACCCAGTTTAACTCTGTGAAGCAGAGGCGATTGCTTTAAGACTGCAAGGGAAGCTCAGCTTCCCCTAAAATGTAAAAAATAAAGATCAAATATTTACAAAAAGGAAAAAAAATGTATAGGTCTTCTGGACGGGTTCTTCTTTAATGAAACGTTTCGTCTCTTCTCCAAGAGACTTCTTCAGTCTGAGAGTTTCAGGCAAAATTNGTGTATAATACAGTGGTTATTTAATAAAATTATGCTAAACAAATGTAATAATTATTGAATAGTGAATAAAGGTGAGAAAAACAATTGAAAAAACTTGATGTTTTATTTTATTTTATTTTTTTTACATATTTTGTAGTGGATTTGCAAGAGGGGTCTTCAGTCAGAAGCTAATGTAGTTTAGGGGGCCATGGCATGGAAAAGTTTGGGAATTCCTGCTATATGGCATGGTACAGTATGGTATATGGTGTATTGTGTGGTATTGTTTTGTGATTGATAACCTGAAGTCAGACCCAGAACACAAGCAGAACCCTGAATTTCAAGAGAATTCATTAAAGCAGAGAGAAAGCTAAATTGATTGTTTTAAAGATCAATAAGAACCAAAGAATACAACTCTGCTTATACACACTTTAATCCTGCACCTGTGGGTTTTTGAGATTATGGGGACGTGCTGGTTCTGTTTATTCTTGAATTGTGCTATTTTTTTTAATTCATCGTTAGAAGTGTGCATGTCAGAATCTATTTAGATAGCCAAAGGTGGAAAAAAAAACATGTTACTGCTTCCTTTCGAATGTTAAATTACCAATTATCCTCACATGCACCACTGAACTGACATCATTTTTATTTGCTGTTGTTTTTAAATTGATTTACAAGGCAAAGGCTAAGCATGGGCTGCATTGACAAATAACATAAACATATTTTTTTTCTCTCTTCAGGGTCCTTGTCTGTCTTTCAGGGTCACTTCAGGCAGCTCAGAATTTTAAACAGATGATTTATGATCAGCTACACTTTTCCCCTCCTCTGACCAGCCCCAGTTATTAGCCTGAGTTGAGCTCATGAGACAGACAAGAAAATGTAATCATTTTTTTCATATAGAGCTCTCTATCTGAGGAGTTATCAGGGTGTAAGCCTGCATAATGAGCCCTACTTACACTTACTAATTCGCACATGTGATATCAAAATGTGTTACAGTGCCTACAAAAAGAATTTACCCCTTTGGTTGTTTTCCTCTTTTACTGTTATTATACATCAGTCTTGGCTGACAAAAACAGACCTATTTTGAGAAAATAAAAGAGGTCCAGCCACTTTGTGCTGGTAGTCTAACAAGTAGTGAGATGGGAATCACCGGTGGAGTGGCGGATGTGGATGGAGTCCCTCGGCCCTCGGACTGTCCCTCTTGTTTGGACGGAGCG